ATGCATTTCTTCATGGTGATCTGGACGAGATTATTTATATGGATGCACCACCGAGCTTTTGTGGTGAGGGGAAGTATGTTGGAAAGGTATGTCGACTGCGTAAGTCTCTTTATGGACTAAAAAAATCACCACGAACCTGGTTCTCTCGCTTTAGTAATTTAGTTGTACGTTTAGGGTTCACCAGATGTCATTCTGATCATACCTGCCTCATTCGACAGAATACTTCTGGACAGTGTCATCCTTTTGGTATATGTTGATGATATTATTATTACTAGAGATGATGTTTCTGCGACTGCGCAGGTCAAGGTAGACCTTGAGAAGGCCTTTGATGTGCAGAACCTTGAATTTTTACGATACTTTCTTGGGATTGAGGTTGCCCGTAGCAGCAGATATAATGTTCTTTCTTAGAGAAAGTATGTTCTAGATCTTTTCTCCGATACTAGGATACTGGGGTACAAACCGACATCAGCACTCATGATTCCAAACCTGAAGCTTACTGCTGAAAGTGAGAAGTTGAGAGATCCGACTATCTATCAGGGGTTGATAGGTAGACTTATCTACCTAGCCAACACTAGGCCAGAAATTCTATTCACTGTCAGCCGAGTTAGTCAGTTCATGCATAGACCATGTCAGCCTTATCTTGATGCAGTTTATCATATTCTTTGGTCCCTAAAGTCTTGTCATGGACTTGAGTTGTTCTATGCATCAGGATCTCAGACTGATTCTCTAACCTGTTATTCAGATTCAGATTATGGGGGGGGGGGGCGTGTGACGATCGATCTACTACGGACTTTTGTACTTTTTGAGGGACTCATCTTATATCTTGAAAAAGTAAAAAAACAGTCAGTTATTTCCTGCTCGTCAGCAGAGGCAGAGTATCAGACACTGGCATTTGACACATGTAAAATTATCTGGCTACGATCGATTCTTGGTGAGTTGGGATTTCCAAAGACTTCTTCATCTACATTATATTGTGATAATCGATTTGATATTCAGCTCGCTTCTGACTCTGTATTATATGAGAGGACGGAGCATATAGAGATCGATGTTCACTTTCTTCGGAAGAAGGTTAGAAGTGGTATTGTCGCTCCATCGTTTGTGGGGACCAGTGATCAGGTTGCGGATGTTTTCATCAAACCTATCACTTTATCTATTCTTTGGGACTCCGTTGGCAAGCTTGACTTAGTTGACATTTTTGCGTCTACCTTGAGAGGGAGTGTTGGAGATATAACAACTTAGTTTATTATGGTTTATTATAGTTTTCCTTTTTTACTTTTTTTTATACTTATTGTAATTTTCATTGACTATATATACGAGGATTTTACACTTAATTTGTATCTCTTTTTGACTCACACATATTTTCCTAGTATTTGTTTTGTGGATCATGCGAGCAAATAAAAGAAACTCTACTATTTTATGCTCATCAAATTGCAGCTTTAAGCAACTTGCTTATAGACACACCCTTTGACCTTTGGCAATGTTCTAAATGAATTATAGAAAAAAGTATCACTACAACAAAAATCATTTTTTGCGACGATTTTTTTCGTCGCTAAATTAAAAAAAAATCGTCACAAAATATTTTTTGCGACAATTTATTTTCGTCGCGTCTTCGTCGTAATAGCCTCGTCGTAGAAAGTCTTTTGTGACAAATTTATTTTTATCGCAAACAAATTTTTTTTGCGACGAAAAAAAAACGTAGCTAAAACCTATTCTCCCAACATAAAAACATTAAAATAATAATTTAATTAATTTTTTGCGACGTAAATAAATCTGTTGCCCAAAATTTTTTTATAAAAATATTAATTAAAGTAATTTTTGGCGACGTTAATAAATCATCGCAAATAAATTTTTACATAAATAAAAATGGTTAATATAATAATTTAATTAAGTTTTTGCGACGTAAAAAAAGCGCCGCGAATAATTTTTAAATAAATTGAAAATGTAAAAAATAATAATTAAATTAATTTTTTGCGATGTAAAAAAAGTCATCGCAAATATTATTTTAATAAAAAAAGTAAAAAATAATTTAATTAATTTTAGCGACGAAAAAAAAATCACTGCAAATAATATTTTTAATTAAAAATATGTAAAAAATAATTAAATAAATATATTTGCGACGTAAAAAATTCATCGCAAAAACGCTTGGTACTGCAATTTTCGCGACGATTTTTATTTCGTCACAAAAAAGTTCATTTTTTTTGATTTTATATAAAAAAATCATTTTTCCAATAAAATTTTTCGCCTGTACACCAATAATACATGTGTTTAATAAAAACTAACATAATTAATACATTTAACATCTTTTTTAAAAAAAAATAAAATTTTATTTCCAAAAAGAATGAATTACAAGAATCAAAGAACAAAAAGTCCTAAAAATAGAAAAAATAGTTTTAATCCTTCAAGAGGATTTAAACCATCTCTAATTACATTTAATGTCTCTTAAACTTGAACAGCTCCAATAGTCCAGCTCCATGCATTGAAATATCATGTCAAAGCTCAACACTATTCGTCCAGGATCTACATAATCAAACTGACCACCACACACAACCTTCCTCCTCCGAGCAATAGGGATCCTGGACTGATGCTGATGCAGAACTAACCATCCTTCCAGTGGCAGAATACCACTTTCTGAAAAATTAATAAAAGCAAAATAAGAGTATTGAAAGAGAGATGAATCATTTACAATGGAAACAAGTATCGATAAAGTAGTTTGGATAAACTAAGAGAAAAATCAGTGCAGTGCTAGCCAGTATCACAATTTCAGAACTGAGCAACTTACCTCAACAACCTTTTCATCATTTGTTTCTATGATTACCCTTACTACTGCATTTTCTTCATTTCTGTTAATGGTAGATCACTTATCATTGACCAATACGTCATCTATAATTGAAGAGAATTAAGAAAAAAAAAAACTGAAAGTGATCCCAAGCCGAAATAAAACATGCACTCGCTACAATCATGCAGAAAAGACCACAGATTATGTTATTGATTGCCCACAAAATGCCACAAAATCACAACAAAGAAAACAAACATAAGCATGAAGAGAGAACTATGCAGATGTCAGTACAAATATAGGTTGTTGCATCAACAACAAATGATTAGCAATCCACACAGCATGAATGCAAAAACGTATGATTTTAGCTTTCACATGTGAAATGGGTTGTGTACCAAGCCTTACTTGGATTTACGAAATCACAGATTTCATCATCATTGAATCCACGCATTACAACACAGTTCACCTGAGATATGACACATAAGAAAGAAATTTCAGTTGTGAATTTAAACGAAACTTTGACATTGAACAAAAAGTAATCAGAAGCTTAGCCTAAAACATATAGCGATAATATATTACCACAACTAATTTTTTTTTTTTTAAAACTAAGAACATAATACATGAACCAAGAATAAATGGAAAAATAGAAAAAATGAAATACACTATTAAAAAGTTGGATAGAATACTTTAACGGGATTGTATCAAGGTGATATGCCTTTCTTTATCAGACTTTTACGGCAACATGATCAACGGGGGATCAATGCTACTCGTAAGAGGTTTTCTGCCTCCTCCTAGTTTATTTACTGTTCGATTTTTTATGGAAGCATACAAATCAAGCAACCAGAATACCTCAAACACATGGATCAAGTCTAGACTAAAGCCCATTCAAAAAACACAGTCCAGTTTATTTTCAGGCTTCAGGTCAGTGTGAATTAACCGTAAATCATGCATATTTGTTGGATATGACAAATCATAAAAAAATATTAAACAAGAAATCTCACAATTATACATTTGATGCTACACCCTGGACAAAAAGAACATGCCAAAAAACAAATCCCAAAAAATTGATTAGAAAAGGAAAAGAATACAGAAATCGAGATATAATTCAAGGCCAAGATTAATCCACATACATGCTATAGATTCCAAAAGCTGACGTCCAAATTCCCGAACAAGATCCACATGAAATGGGCAGTATCTATTTCTCTTTAGAAAATCATATAAACTTGGTCCAAAATATGCAACAGCCACCATCATTCAATCCCAAAAAACATGGATCAGTTGAGAGGATCAGCACCTCAAAAACAGGCAGCTTTCAAACCACCCCAGTAGCAAAGAAATCCATTGCATCCTAGAACCCCAAGCTGGAACCAAGAAATTAGATGAAATAGCCCAAGGGGCATGAACAGTGTAAGACTAATGTATTCAGTAAGAATACTATAGGGGAAGGGGTTTAAATACAACAAAAAAAATTCCTACATGGACCACTATCAAGAGACTTATGTTTGTGATTGTAAAATCTACACCTATAATGCTTCTGGTACAAGTGGTACCTTATCCTTTACCATCAGCAACATCTACACCTATAACAACTGCTGCTATATGAGGCACTCTGGACCATATATATAACACAAATAACATAATAGTTAACAGTGCACTGTGCAAGTAGTTAACAGTGCAGAACCATATTTTTTTTTTTTAAGAAAATGAAAAATATGAAATATATGAAAGGAATAATTACAAGAAGCAAAGAACCAACAAGCAACAAAAGGGGACCAAGCCAGAAATGGCTTTAATCCTGCAAGACAAGAAGAAAGGGGAGAAGAAATCTTCATGGAGGGAGGAGGCCCCATCAGTAACCTAAAAGACGAGAAACGGCTGAAAACCAGCTGAGGGTCCAGCTGGACAACAAAATGACCAGCTGAATAGTTAGCTGGAACCAGGCGAGGCAGACAGCAACAAGTGGGGTAGCTGAGGGCAGGCAAAAACAGTAGAAACATCCCCAGGAGCATGCCAGAAGAGAGCCCCCAGCTGACCCCCAGCTGGGAGGGAGCAGCTGAAAGATCATAAATGAAAGTGCAGTACATCCAACCCAAAAAGGAAAACCTCAGCTGAGATAAACCAAGAGACAAAAGGCAGAAGAGGAAGGGGAGCAACCCAATAATATCCAGCTGAAGGAGCATCATCTAACTTGAATGCATCGGAAAAAGTGAACAACGAAGTCCAAAGGTCAGGAAAAGAGACAGAGAGGATTGCCCAAGAAAGATAATCTCTTCTCTCCTAATGGTGCTGTTCCTGATGATGCAACAACTTTGCCTTGAATGGCATCCAATGGAAACAGAGGAAACACAAGAGAACCAGAAGCCTAAGCAGAAACAATAGAAGAGGCGCATAACCAACAGAAGACACCATCCCCTTCCCCATTCTGATAAACCACAGAGAACTTTCAAATTTACACAAACTTCTTTTGAATGCAAATGTACACATGAGTTTCCCTCTTATAATGAAAAGGAACAATTGAATCTGATTCACCATGATAGGAACACAGAAAAGAATAGCGTCACATAGCATAACAGAGAACACCACGTAGCACACCCAGTCCCATAAGCATAAATAAACAGCAGAAGCATCCATCACAAAGAATATGTATCATTAAATAAAGATGAGCAGAAATGGACATGCAGAAAGAATATGTATCATTAAATCCAATCCAATCAAACACTAACTTGCAAAATTCAGTTTAGCGGAACATCATCTTGTCATGATAAAATAAGAAAAAAAAATTCATATACCTGAGAAAGAGCTTCCTACCTAAGCTCTTGTAACATTCAAGTTAAAAAAATTCACATGAAAACAAAAATTGAACACAAAGAGACATATTAAAAAAGCCTCAAGTTCAATAATGAAATGTAAATCAAAGATTAAAATTCATTATAATTTATTTTAACAATCCATTACACAAGGGGTAAAAAGATCAAATAGTATTTCAAATTCTGTGAAACCTGTGTTTCTTGATTACCATGCTAATGGTAACTGAGATGTTGGACAGTGAGAAAACCAAAGAATTGCTTTACCTCTTAGACAAATCAAAATCCTTGGTGGATTCACCCACGGCTCCTTCCAGCTCTTTTATTCATAGTTTCAGCTCTTTTACCAACTTGACATTCTGATGAAGTTGAACAACAATATTTTACATAGAATGTAATTAGACCAAAATTGAAAATTGTAGTCAGCATCAACCTGCTCAGATGCCCGCAGTTCATCAACAGTTTTCTTCAGTTGTTCATAGTCATGTTTTGCTCTTTCTCGATGGTCTGAGAGAAAAAAGATGAAGGCTTCGAGTTTGATCGGGGCTTGTGGCTTCACTGTTGATTTCTCACCTCCAGTATTACTGCATATGTTGAAAAATTTCTCCTGGGAAACTTTCAAGTTAACTTTATCAAAATAACATTAAATTAATAACTTTGAAACATCTTCGTTGGTTGATTCAGATCACAATAACCGCGAGTTAGTTAAAATTTATGAACAATAAAAAGATTAAGTGACACTGTTTTCACACAAGCAACTAACGAACCTAACTAGTTCAAAGTAGATCTTCAAGTCACTTGATTAAAGCATAATTTTGGACAAAGTAGTATCCTAAATTCCTAATTAAAATTACAAATTTAATTCAATTAGGTTTATATATGTTGATATTTGTCAATTAGGTGTGTGTGCTGTGAGTGTGTAACTTGCAAATTGAGGGAGTGTGTCATGTGTGTGTCAGATTGAGACAGGAAGAGAGACTAAGAGATGGGGAAATAGAGGAAAGAAGAAAGATTGAATGGACTGAGATTCGTGAATCGTGAATCTCGGCTCTGTGTGTGTGAGAGAGAGAGAGAGAGAGAGAAAAGAGAAAAGAAGAGAAGACTTACAAACCGAAATCAAATGCTTGTGCGTCTGGATTGGAGAGTTCGAGAGCTAAGTTGAGGAGTTGCTGGTTATGCTTGTGCGTCATTTGGACTGGAGAAGAAGAGCAGACCGCCTTTACTGCCTTCCATTGCCTTCTCCTAATCATAGCTCCAATCAAAGAGGGAGAGAGAGTACTGTGTGTCGACTGAAATAAACAAATAGTGGGAGATGGGGAAAGTGAGAATGAGGGAAAAAGGGTATTTGGTAGGAGGGAAATCAACAAAGAAAATATTCAAAAATTAGTAAGGGATGGAGGCTGAAGTTGGATGGAAGCAATAATAATGGGTTGGCAATTCTGGACTAGACCCTTGGTCACCATTGGACCAATGGAAGAAACAATATATGGATGGAGAAAGAGAGAGAGAGGGGGGTTACCTAAGCTCAAGAGGGATGGTGTCGCTGGCGACAGTGTTCGATGGCGTCGTTGACTGTGTTCGATGGTTGGCGGTGTTCTAGGGCTCACTAGCGGAGAGAGATGGGGGAGATATGTATGTGTAGTTGGCAAGAGGAAAAAAAAGAGGGAGAAAGAAGAGTATATTATTTCCGACGTTTTACAAAAATGTCGCCCAAAAAGTATATTGTTATTTTTAAATTTTTTTATTTACGAAAAAATTTACTATTTGCGACGTTTTTAAAAAACGTCGCGAAAAATGAAGTAGATTGTTATTTTTAATTTTAAAAAACTATTAGCGACGTTTGCTAAAATGTCACGAATTGTTATTTTTAATTTTTTTATTTACAAAAATTTTACTATTGGCGCAAAAAAACAATTAGATTGCTATTTTTTAATTTTTTTTATTTACGAAAATTTTACTATTTGCGATGTTTTCCAAAAACGTCAAGAAAAAACAACTAGATTGTTATTTTTTAAATTTTTTATTTACAAAATTTACTATTGGCGACAATTTTTGCAAAAAATAAATAAATTTGCAATTTTTTGCAATTTTCCCTGCCAGTAGAATTAGGAGAGTGTCACCTTTTGGCAACGTTTTCTAAAAACGTCGCAAAAAACTTGCCAAAATAGAAATTTGCGATAAAAATATAAAAGCGTCGCTAATACTAAACTTTTTGCGACAAATTTAAAATCGTCGCAAAAAAAAAAGTCGCAAAAAAGTTTTTTGTTGTAGTGTATGATTTGATTATGTTGTCAGTTAGTAACTAAATCACTAATCTTCCCTAGGATACTATGATCAAACCCATTCATCTCCCGCGCAGCTCGCGTTCTTCCCTAACTTCTCATTTCTTTTTAGTCCATGCTCTATTTTCTTTATATGAATGTCCGTGGGGTGGATTCATTACATTGCTCTTTCAATCATTATATGTACTTGGTGTTTTGTTTTGGTTTTTTTTTTTTTTTTTTAAATCCTGATTGCAATGTTAGTTGTTGTAGATGTTTATTGTGAGAATAAACGAATCTGCATTGCTGTTGAACATACTTGAAAAGCTCTCTGGGCAATATTACACAACATTTTTCGCACTTTCTATTGCCTATTTTATCCTAGAATGATTGTAGGTGCAACAAATAATAAAGACATTATTGGATCAAATTCATGCGTTGTTTTTATAAGTTACAGCATAAGGCGGTGCCACTAGCGGTTGAGGAGCTATTAGTGTACAAGAATGATGAAATTGTATCTTCTAAGAAGAATATTGGGTTAAGCTTAAGGTCAATATTGAATTTGCTTTGGTTTATACTTAGGATATCGGCATGTTAATAACTGATAATCGTTTGATTGTTTTGGGCCCTTCAACTACCAATGTAAGTCATATTGCTTTATTTCTTTCATTTTTTCATATCAGTATCAACAAGAAGTTTTGGTATTCAAAGAAGATAAATTAAGTCGAGATTCATATCTTGAGAATCTCGAGTAGATAAACTATCTTAATAATTAGACTTCATTGAAATAATCGAGATATGTGCCAATGATTTTCCTATTCTTCTTCTAGTATTTAAAATTCAGTCACATATTTTCACTTGTGTATTTGTGTGTGATAGTTTAATGTTCTAATTCGTTATTGAGAAAATTTATGGATACTAGAAGCAATGAAACTTTGAATTTATGTACTTCGAGATGAAGTAAATGGCTCTTTTTTTATTAGAAACAATATATGCAAATCTTTGTCAATTGAGATAACATATGCTAATTGAGATAAACCGTTAATTTTCACAATACCATTAGCTCTCGCAGAAACACAAGTATCAAGCAATAGTAATAAATAGAAACACCAAATGTTCCTTACTTCTGAAATTGAAAAGGAACCAATATGCATAAATGAAATCTTGATCGTGATAATGAATACTTTAAACAAAATAACATTATAAAAAGGTAAATTTATATAAATAATAAAGGATGGTGTGCAACGTTAGCGGGATGGATGCATTTCTTGTTAAGTGTGTTGTCATATTCAATTTTGCATAATCGAGACAAACTTAAACAAGTTCGGCATAAATTCGGCAGACTCGACTCATTTATGTGCAAATATTTGAACACGACTTGTTTTTGACTTGTTCAGGCTCGGTTCGTTTCCTAAACGAACTAAAGTTGAACAATTTTTTAGATTCGATTAAAAAACAAGTTTTTCAAGCTCGACTTGAACTTGGCTCGGGCTAATTCGACTAACAACCCTACTTAACCCCCACCGATCAATGGCTAACTTAATTAACATGGATGGTAATAAGAATGAAGTGTTCTATTGATATGTGATTGTCAAAATAATTTATGTGTGCATAAGCTAGTGTAATTAAAAGTAAAAAAACAACTTCATCGTGGTGGAGAAAAATAAAGAATAGAGCATCCATCGCCGAAACACTGGTTTGAAGCTTCCACTGCCGGTTTACTTCCTTCACCCCCATTAAATTCTATTTTATTCTCTAATACTCAATGAATACAGATAACAAAAATATTATTTAAATTTTTTTTTTTAAATAAAACTCCTTATGCGACTGATACAGAAACCCTAGCTTTTATTTTGGCTTGTTGATGATGTTAATTTCATGGTGTCCAAATTTGAATAACAAATTAGGATAAATAATATTCAAACTTTAATGTCACAATGTAAGAATATATTACTGAGTTGTGTAATTTCACAATATTTATCCAACTCTTGCAAATCTGAGAAGTTGTGGAAGAGTTGTTTAATATTGAGAAAATTGTTATTTTGAATTGCGTTTGTGGTATTATAATGAATTTACTCTTTGTTGTCACATTATTAATATAAATTTATACTGTCACATTACTGAGTTCCTGTAATACAAATCTGCGAATATCACTATTTACAAGTTGATAATTCTTTGGGATCTTTTAATTTGGGATCAATTTTTTTGAAATAGAAAATTCATTCTTTGTTGTCACATTATTGTAATAGATAATTTAGTTGATTTGTAAAATTTATTTTTTTTGATTGAAATAGTGAGTGCAATCTTTCTAGTCACAAGACAATAATAGTTTTGAGAAATTACTGAAATATTGTAATTTTTTGTCAATTTATTATGGTGTCAATGTAATTTCAGAAAATTGAGGGAGTGTCTTTGTAATTAGACCAATCTACAGGGAGTGTCAGTGTAATTTATCCTACTTTATTGGAAATATGGTTTTTTTTTTTATTGCTGTTTTGGCTCTGTGAACACAGGTCCATAATTTTCCCCGACAATCCATGTGCTTAACCTTGATTTCTGAAATGAAGTTTGCCAGCACTGAATAGAATAATAAAACAAAGAAAGCTGAAAAAACTCAAGTCTAAGGATGTAAGTTTTGTAGTAATTATCCAAATACTCTATGCAATTCTTCTACATAGATTGTTATTTTTTTAATGGCACAGTATGTTATCACATTGTTTTGTCACATATATTTGTCACCATTTCTTTCTTTCTCTTTTTATTTATTTATGTTTTTCAAGTTATTAAAAAAAAAATTGAAAAAGACTTAAAAAAAGAAGTTGTTTATCATACCACGAAGAAGCAAGAGAGGATCGGAAAATCAAACAGATGTGATTGTGATGAATGACAATGTTGAATCAAAAACATCATGCTACCCGGATGAACATAAAGATGATGAGTTTGATACACAAGATCATGTTCAATGCCAACAAAAATGATACCGGGATTCAATGGGATGGTAACAATACGCCATGCGATACTGCTGACAAAGGAGATAAAGTTGGAGTTGAGAAGCATCAAATGCAGCCTCTGAATGCTTTGTTAGATGTGACTGTTAATGAATCAACACAAAGACAGCCAAGGACACAATTTGATCGACATGAACAAGAAAATTAGGAGATAACCACAGAGAGAGATGAAGCAATGAGACTTGTCGCTGAGCTGAAGCAAAAGGATGAAAATAATAATGCAAAAATTATGGAGCTTTCGAAAGATAATTAAGTGCTCAGAACAGTTATAATAAACATTAGCAGCAAGGGTTATGATAGGATAACCAGCACGAACAATATTCCAGGATTACGACAAGAAAACCTGTGAACGTATATCCAAATAAAATCTAAAAAATGTACCTACAACCAATTTTTCCAATAAAAAATTGGCCTAGCAATGGTGGACATTGAAGGCGCAGAAGAACATTTTGGCTTTTGGCTTTTGGGTGCTTATGAACTCGGAATCTTTTGATCAAGTAGTGGACAAATGTAATTAGTAATGATCAAAAAACTCTCTCATTCTTTTTCCTATTACATTTACCTTTGCTATTCAAGTATTTGATGACAGTTTCATGAGGTTACTCCAATATAATTTCTTGGATGGTAATATCATACGGAAAAATAATTTTTTTGGCAATTATATCTTATCGGGAAACCATTCTAATCATGAATCTCAGTTTGTTTTTGTTTTTTGGGTGAAAAGATCATGAATTGCAATTCGATTTATTTGTCACCATTATTAGCCAAAACAATAAAACACTATAAAACGATAAAAAAATAAGTTTTAACATGTATCATGTTCTTCTTGGTCAAAACAATAGACTATCTTCTTAGTGACTGAGTCTCTATCAGAAACTCTTGCCACTGACTCATTTTTTTTTTGAGTTTGATTGTACATGTGTATTCACGCTTTCCATTGCTGGCAATTCGAATCCAAAAGCCAATTCGATGAGAATAACTCACCAAATTATGCTTTTCCGTTGCAATCATCGATAATAAAAATTCAGTACACTGCCAAGAGTAGTACCCATTCCTATAATTGATATTATGTGTACCTACGGACATTCAACAACCGACATCCATTGGGTATACATAACATTGCTCATATATTTTTTTTATTGTTCCCGTTTAATTTTATATTCCATCCTTTTCAATGTCTTTTTTTCAAAAAAAATATTACCATATATCTAATGGTTGGCCGATGGTGGTTAGGATGTGAGTCATCAATGTACTTGTGTTGATTATTCAGAGTGCCAATAGAAGTATTCAAATAGGTATCTTTGTAGAGTGATACCTTTCCTCGGTTAACGCCAAACATATGATGTTCCCACGCTTAAGAGATATATATCGATACAAGAGAATAAGCTATTTGCAGCGACTTTTTAAATTAGGCCCAATTACCAAAACACACTAAGACATTGTAAAAGAAGAAATACATAATCAAAGATTCCTTCTGTACATGTGAGTTTCTATATAAGCAATTATATGTAGATCTGTTTTAGTTGGAGATTGAAGCATTGCTGGGCACTAAAACAACACTGGAAATCACAGGTTTCATGGAGAAGATGTATTTCCTCTTTTTAGTTGCGATAACTTTGGTTTCAACTATTTTTCTTTCTAAGTTACTTACAAGAGGTTACAAAACCAAAAATCTCCCAAGAGGGTCTTTGGGTTTTCCTCTGATAGGGGAGACCTTTAGCTTTCTTAGTGCATTGAAGAAAGACAAAGGCGCTGAATGGATAAATGAGAGAGTATTCAAATATGGGAAAGTGTTCAAGACCTCCTTAATGGGTACGCCAACTGTGGTCCTTTTTGGTCAGGCAGGTAACAAGTTCGTACTTGGTTCTGATGAGGGTGTTCTTGCTACCAAACAACCCAAGACATTAGCCTCTATTGCAGGGAAATACAGCCTTTTTGAGCTCACTGGATCAAGGTAAGTACCACTCACCTTATATTTATACATATATAAGAGAATTTCACTCATGTATGCAGATATTTATTTGTAGATATACCTAGATATATAAATGTTAAGTGGCAAAACAAAACACTAAAAATAGAGCATACAAATTTGTATGGTTGGGCTCGAAGCGGCTTACATGATAAGAAAGTGTAAACATGAATCCTTCGTAACATTTAGACAATAGTTCCTCAAAACATGGAAAAATTAAATGGCACCTTACATATGCAAACGTCAATATCAAGATTAATTATCAATGATTATAGAGTTTTTTTAGAAAGGAAAAAAAAAAGAGGACGAATGAGTCGATCTATCTAGCACTTGGTCTGAATCCAAATACCCTTCTTGTCTAAGAAAATTAGGTTCTAGATTCTAATAAAAAAAACTTCCAAAGCATCATCAATCTTCTATTTAGGTCAAACCCCAATATATGCATCAATAGTCAACACACTCCATTAGACAGATGAGAATGGGAGCAGAATACGAGACATTCATACTAAATATGTGATGGGACACTTCTGAAAAAATGTATGATTCAAACACGTGTCATCGGTACTGTGGATATGCCCCTGTGATGAAGGCCACGTGCCCTCGGCACCAAGGGCACTTCTTCTCCAATATAAAGCACATGTCTTTGGCACCGAGGACACGACCTCTCTGATAACGCCAGGTGTCCTCGGCACCGAGGACACCCTTTGCTCCCCGATTGATCCATGCGTTCTATACATAACTAGACTAAAGACCGGTGGTGGACACGTCATCTCTTCTTCTAGAAGGGCCACTGACAATTGTGCCCATCAGTCTTAGAACTGGTCAATGAAATCATTGGTTTGCTTTTCCAAATAAGGTCAGAATGATAGAATGAACAAGACACTCCACCGAGGGGAGTCAGACATGTGGCATGACATACAAGCTGAGGGGTGAATGGACAAAAATACCCATCCCTGCTGACATACAGCTATCTCAGGCAAGCATTTAATGAACCCTCAATTGATGGGACATCCACAATGGCTCTGGAAGCCTAGAAGAAAGAGCATTAAATGCTCCAAGACTCAAGCATTAAGTGCTCGGGGAGTCAAGTATTTAATAATGGGGTTTCTCCCATGCAAAATAGGAGGTACACTGTCCCATGTCTGAGTGCTACCTACTACCTAAACCATTAGTAATGATGGGATCTTTTGAGGTATAAATAGTTCTCAAAAACACAATGCAGAGGTACGCAAATTCACTCCTGAAGAACACTAAATAATGTTTTTTTCTTCTCCTTTCTCAAAGAACTGACTTGATCGTCATAGAGGATACGCCAAAAAATACTCCAGCGCCTTTCTAACTTATTTTCTGTGTGCCAAGAACCGCCTCCAACCTGCCGAAAGTGATAGGACAACCCCTGACGCAATTCATTACCACTCCTTAGGCCTCATTTGACCCTCTCAACCCATTCCTTGTTACAGGGTCAACCACTTTCTAGAGAAACACGAGTTCATTAAGAAAGAGATTTATCTTGTTTATCTATTGTGCAAAAATTACCGCGCATAATATGTATCAACACATTCCTTCCCCCATCTTCAAAAAAAAAAAAAAAGTAAATGACAAAAAAAAAGTCCTGTACGATGCTATAAATGGCTAAATTTGCTGGTGAATTGTACTTGCAGGTACAAGTTAATAAAGGGAGCAGCGTTGAGCTTTTTGAAGTCCGAAAGCCTTCAAAACTATGTCAAACAAATGGATGATTTGGTCAAGAACTTGTTACTTAGAGAGACCAAGGACAGAGACACTCTTGCTACTGTGATATTCGTGAAAAAGCTCACATTCACTTTTTCATGCAGCATTCTCTTTGGCATTCACGACGACCTCACTATAAAAGCTTTCTTTGATGATTTCATTTTAGCCTTTAAACATTTTGGTGTCTTCCTCTATCCTTTCCCGGCACCGTTTACTGGAATGGCTTACAAGCAAGAGCCAGAATAATTAATCGGCTTCGGCCGATTATTAGAAGAAGAAAGGAGGAGCTCTCTACGGGGCTTTCAAGCCCTAAAAGTGACATACTGTCTTGTCTTTTAGCACTTGAATCTGAAAATGAAGGAATCATTACTGAAGAAATGATTATGGACAATTTTATTGCTTTGATGATTGCTAGTCATGATACGACGTCAATTCTCCTGAGCTTGATGGTATGGAAGATGTCTAGAGATCCCGAGGTCTACCAGAAAATTTTGGAAGGTAAAGCATATGTTTAGTATATTCATCGTGGTGTGTTTAGGTTGATTCATGATAATTCAAGAATAAAAAATTCAAGATTAGGTCTCATTTATTTTTCATTCAAACCCTCCACCCATATGGCCTTAATGAACCAAATTTGGACTCGATATTTATGCGAGCAAAACAAATATAAAAACCCTTAAATTCTACAAACATAAAGACAACGAGTTTTGAAGAAATAAATTGAAAAAATTAGAAAAGTTTGCTGTAAATTTTTAGCATGCTAATCAATCGTGTGAAAAATTGACAGATCTATTTTTAACATTCATATTGCTTTTATATGTGGTTTGATAACAGAACAAATGGGTATTCTAGAGAATAGAGAGGGAAGAGAAGAAAAGTTAACATGGGATGATATACAAAAAATGAAGTACACTTGGAGAGTCGCACAAGAATTGATGAGGACCATACCCCCTCTGTTTGGCAGCTTTAGAACAGCACTTAAGGATACCACCTTTGGTGGCTATGTTATCCCTAAAGGATGGCAGGTAATTAACTTCATGATTTTCGGAGAATTGTTTTGAATTTCGAATTTATAATTTATTGTTAAAAAAAATTTGATTGTTCCAAGACTTTTGTGCATACTACTCTTTCTGTAAGCATTGTCTTCGTTAATCATGTTGTTAAACATTAAAAACTAACTTAATTTCCACATTATGCCCATCATGTTAATTACATTGAGATGGTTTCTGCAGGTGCTTTCGGTAACACATAGCACTCACATGGACAAGGATATTTTTGATAATCCAATGGAGTTCGACCCATCTCGGTTTGAAAACTCATCTAAACGAATCTCTCCTTACACTTATGTACCTTTTGGAGGAGGACTTCATAAGTGCATAGGAAATGAGTTTACCAGGGTTGAAACCCTAACTATGGTCCACAATCTTGTGACACAGTATGAATGGACACAAGTTCATCCCGAGGAAGTGATCACCCGTCAACCAGTGCCATATCCATCCATGGGTCTTCCAATCAAGATCAAGCCGAGAACCATGCTATAGAATACATATTGCAACAGAGGTGTCTCGAGTCGAGTTTGTTAAGCTTGACCATTGTCAAATTTGGTTCAGTTTTCACTGGCCTAGCTCAACTATCGAGCATACCTTCTTGTTCAATCTAAGCCTGTTTAATAAAATCAGTTCTAATTGTGTTATTTTTCAATCTAAGCCTGTTCAATAAACTCGATTCTAATGTATCTTTGTGCTTCTCATTTAACTAAGGAAAAGGAGCTTGCTATATTATAGTGAGACAGAGAAAGAAATGTTGTTTAAATCAAGAAATAGAACTCTGCTGAATAATAGACTCTGGCAGTTCCCAAAACTAAGATGGTAATATCATCTATCCAAACACAAGTATTTAGTACTATGTCAAGAAATTATTCTAATCGTGAATTTTAGCTTTTTTTGGGTCAGAATCATGAGTTTCAGTTTGATTTTATAATTCATCATGGTTAGCTAAAATAATATAAAACATGTAAGAAAAATGATACATGTGTCACGCTCTCATTGGTCAAAAAGGAAGAGTTATGATAGTCTAACCTTAGACTATCTTTATAATGACATTTCTTTTATTGAACATCTCCAATTTTAGTCTAAATTTGAGTAAAAATCTTGATTTTGTATAAAATATTTTAATGGACAAAATCAAATATCTACTCAAATCTTTTAAAAAAATCTTTATTATCCCAAAACTCGTTTTGTTGTGTCATTCAAATCGTGAAATCTGATAAAATAAATGAAAATTTTATATCTCTCCACAAATGAGTAATTCAAAAAAATAAACATAAAAATCACCCTAGAATTATTAGATTGTTCCAATCCCTTATTTTCTTCTATAAATCCAGATAAAGAAAAAGAAGAAAAAGAGTAGGTACTTTATCATGTGTATGGTATGAAAAACAAAAGAAAATGATCGTTTTCAACAAAAATGAATGATTGGATAAATAAAATGACGTATTTCTTAACTTTGTGGATAATGAAAGCTTGAAATTTTAGGAATAATCGATAGACTGATATTGCACTACCGATAGTATTTAACTCAAAACAATCAAAGAAAAATTTGATGGGTAGATTTAGGGTATATATAGTATGAAAGATGGTTAAGATTAGAGTTTTGAAAAATACAGAAAATTAAAATGGAAAATAAAAAAGAAGCTTACCTACTGTTTTCCAAAGGGTCTATGAATGTTTCAGTGGTGGTCAGTGATGGAAGCAATGTAGAAGAAAAAGGCAAGAAAAAACAAAGAAAAAGTCGCCGAAAAATTCATTGGCTTTGGAATTTTTTTTTTGTGGAATCTCGACGGTTCAAGGGAGATTTTATTAATTAAAAGTTAAATTACACCTAACTAGAGGAGATGTATCTACCTTACCCCTCGATACAATCTAATTACAGTGCAATAAGGAATTAAAAAATTCTAATGCATGCTATTACATGAATATATTAAAATATTCTAGAAAACATAATTTCATAAAATAATCCCATCCGATGCGACTTGCTTGAAATATGTCAAATGAATCCACTGCCGAAGAAATGTGAGCTGAACAGTCACGTAAATAGTGACATGAACAGTCCAGCTGTGACATAAAATAATGCTGGGAGTGGTCAACTGCTTCATCCAAAATATTAAAACTATTCTGTAAAAATAGTCTTCCACTTTGTCTGCCAACTGCTGTCGGAAACAAATGAGCTGTGAGAGTAGTTCGTTGTCTTAGATTGGAAGGAACCATGTAGAGTTTTCCACAAAAATCAGTCGAAGCAGAGAAGAGGGATTCGAGTTCTGGTGATCCCCAAAACATAGAATTAAGTGATGATGATCTCCAAAACGTAGTAATAAACATATTTGGCTTTGGAATGAGTAAAAAGTTATCGTTGAAAATTTGATATAAAATTTGAGTTTTCTTTAATTTAGATTCAAAATAAGTTTTTTTTTTTTTATTTGGTATAAGTTTAAGTCCAAGGTTGAAAAATATTTTTAAATCATTTAGACCCAAATTTAAATTTGAGCTTAGAGTTAGGGTTGAAGATCCTCTTCTCTTAGGCATCTCTAGTTTTAACTCAAATTTTTACTCAATCAACATTTAAATAAAAAATTTGATTTAATATAGAGCAATCCAACGGAAAAACTAAAAATTATAAGAGGATAAATTCAAATTTAAATAAGGATAAAATCAAATTTAAAAGAGGATAAAATATATTCATTAGATAAAAGAGAATAAAATCTGCCTATTCAAGTTTCAAGTCTTCATTGATTTAAGTAAAAATTTAAATATCCCTTATTTTGGTACGAGTATGAGTAAATGATTGGAGTTTTTTTTTTTAACATGTTTTAATTCTAAATATGTGTTTGATAACGTTTTTATTTTTATATGTTTATATATATATATATAACAAAACTAATTTTTATTTTTTTGTGATAGAAATTGAAAATATAAAATATGTTTAGTAATTATTTATATTTAAAAAAATATAAAAATAAAAGTAAAAAACATGTTTGTTATTATTATAGTGTTTTTATGAACAGTAATATTACTGAAACATAAAATAAAGACTTAATGATGAGGCACCTGACATGGATTTGTCACATCATTAAAATTAGTCCAACTAGTTTAATTTTTTTTTTTTTACTGATTTTTCTGTGTCCAACTTGTTTAGAACTCCTACCCCAATTTGCCCCACTTTCCGCTGCCATTGCATTCATCATTTCCTCTGCCAACAAGCAATGGAGCTCCGACTGTCTTCAAATCACTCAAAGAACCCAATCAGGCGAATCATCCACTCCTCACATCACATACGATACATCTCTCATCTTCCCTCTTGGTCTTCATTTCTCAATGGCCAAGCAACAGTTTCTTAGACGGTGTTTGTGATTTGGAAGAGAAGTTGAATGAATTTAAGCAAATAGTGTGGGATGATGTTTATCAAAATTTAAGGGTCGTTTGGTAACGTTTTTGTTTTCGCGTTTTAAAAAAAATTAAAAACAAAGATAATTTTTGTCTTTGTTTTGTAATAAATACCAAAACATAAAATATGTTTGGAAGTCGTTTTGTCTATTAAATTATAAGAATAAAAACAAAAAATATGTTTGGTAATGAATTCAAATTTTATCCTAAATATATTTGGTATCTATTTGGCAATTAAATCCCAAATCAACACAACACACGCACACACACATACACACACACGCACAGTTCTTCTTCCTCACAGTGGAGGTCATGGCTTGAAGGCAATCACCTATCCTCTTCTTCACCTTCTATGCACAAATCTGTGTACATATGCACAAATTTGTGCATATATATGCACAGTTTCGGGGTTTCAAAGAGAAGAGGGAGAGAGGAGAGAGGAGAGAGGGAGGCAGAGATGGGGAGGAGAGAGGCAGCACTGGGGAGGAGATAGGCAACGATGGGGAGGAGAGGCAACGATGGGGTTTCTTTCGTTCGGCTGATACAGAGAAAGGAGAAGATGAGGGAAAGAGGAGAGAGACAGAGAGAGAAGCAATGGGAGGAGAGACGCTTGAAATGGGTTTTTATACTTCCACGAAAAATAACACATTTTTATTGATAATGAGAGTCGAATCCGAGACCTCATTAAAAATTTCAGCTGAGTTGCACGCGTGTTTTGTGTTTCGAATGTTTTCTGAAACACAATTTTTTTTCCCATTTTTTTCAAGACAACTAATATAAAACAAAAACAAAAATAATACCCAAACATGTCTTTGTTTTCATTTTTGACAAATATTAAAAATAAAAACACAAAACACAAGACAAAGACAGTTACCAAACAGGCCCTAAGTTAGAGAGAATCCATTATGATAGAGTTGTTTGTAAAGTTACATTCATTATTAAATGATAAAATTTAATTGTTTTTTCTGACATTCAACCCCATAATCCTCAGTCTCATAGATAAAGAAATGTATTGATCAAATTGGCCAAATGTATTGACCAAATTAGCTGAAAAGTCGGCATCAAACCAAGAGGGAAGATGAGAGATGTAGCGTATGTATTGTGCGCGCTAGATCTTGCACAATATAAAAACGAGAACAGGTCTCTCCCTTGGTAAACTCGAGTGAATTGGTTGAGTGTCAACCACGCTGCTTGGAACAGCCTGTGAGATCCAGTGGTAACCTGGGACGGTAATGGGGGACCCTCGCGGATCAAAAGAACGATCCAGTAAGGCTGAAGAAAGGTTCCTGGAACAAAGAAGAACAAGTTAGAAGGGCACCGGAGTATTTTTCGGCGTATCCCCTCCGACGATCAAGTCAATTTTTGAGAGAGAGGAAGAAGAAAACACTGAGTATAATTTATAGCAAAAGTTTCACCTCTTTTCCCTTGCCTTTAGTGAGGAGTATTTATACCTCAAATACTCATGATTGTTGTCAGTGTGGTCAGTAGGTGATCATTAGATACAGGCAACGTGCGCACTGATTCCTATGAGGAATGTCTTCTCTTTTAACTGCTCGGGACTCCGAGCAATCAAGACTGTGTCATCGGCCTGCCGACGGTTCAATGAGCTCCTCTCGGGGAGGATGCAATAAATGCCCAGTCTTAGAGACATTTATTGCCTTTCACTTCCGAGCCTTACCGCATTGAATGCAGTCTCATCAAGACAATGGTGTAATTAAATGCTTGTTTTCCCAAGTCGCGTGTCAGCAAGGTCGTGCGGTCTTTCTGTCTCTGATGTGACACAATATGCCACGCGTCCATTCCCCATTGGCTGTGGCCCCTGCCTTCCTGTGCCTTCTAACACCAATTGTGTAAGACGAGGTCATGATAGCTAACCTAGCCTAGCCTAAGCTAGTGACCAGTGCATCAATAGCCTCTGCCGAAGCAGAGAACGGCATCCTGGACGAGGGGGTACATCTCAGTACCGAGGAAGAGGTACATCTCAGAGCCGAGGAAGAGGTACATCTCGGAGCCGAGGAATAGGTACATCTCGGAGCCGAGGAATAGGTACATCTCGGAGCCGAGGAATAGGTACTTCTTGAAGCCGAGAGGGGGAGGCCTAG